GGCCACTTGTATTCGAGCATACCCATCTCCTAGGGCAGCTAGCCAGTCCCTATTGCAGACGCTTGCTCAGGCACATTTTGTGTTTATTCAACACCCACAGAAGCCACCTGTGGTTTATACTAGAACTATACTGAGCAGACCTTAGTTAAAGTTTCTGGGAAAGAGTGTGTCATCTAGTATGATCAAAGATTTGAACAAGGCATGCTCAAGCCCTTAGCCACAATGACTTGTGACTACGTGCTAGCACAACTATTGATCACCCCCAAGGGTTCCATCTACATAATTTCACTTACAAGGCTTGGGTCAACCCGTGGTATGGTTTTCAGGCACTTTCCAAAGGTACCATACACTGGGATTGACCCATCCAGTTTGATAACATCCGGACAGGAAGTCTCCTTCCTGACAAATCAACCATGGTGAGATTTGAACCTGCATCTCATATTCAAAATGCAAATGTTCTAACCACTCGGCCATGTGCCCATAGTCAGCCACAGTTGAGGTTTTACTGTATTTCCAAATCTAGGGGGTCAACATATGGTGGAGATAAAGTGCAAACCTTTAACATTGAGTTGTAAACGAGTGTGATAACAATCCTAACAATTACCATATCTCCAGCAGGCGGACACAAATATCTCCCACTAAAACTTGTGTTTGGTGAACATATTTGGCATATTAACACAGAAATTAATATAAAATAATAAGATGGTAACACAAATTCAGTATTCTATTAACGTTACAGCACATATCATGTCCAACCACTGCTACACTCCATATAAACACTGACCAAAGTACAATTTAACTCAGGTGGCCATTCAGACAACTAAGTATGGTATGTGTGCCATCGGCACAATTTCCTGATAGTAATGACAATTTAATATACAGGTAAGTGGTGTCACCTGATGTAGTTTTGGCAAAAGTTATCATATACTGTAGCCTAACTTAAGTTACTGGTAGGCCTAAGTTATGGCATTGACATATATAGTAGGTATAGGCTTAATGCAGAATTTTGAGCTAAAAATCTTGAGGTTGACTTGTACACCACAATTTATGGTAGACATTATATAATAGTTAAGCACTCCAAATGCCAGGCAGAAGATTATGAGACAGGAAGGTTTTGTTGGTAACAAAGAAAAGAGTACTAAACAGGTACGTGATATCTGTCCTCCTTTACGGTAGCAAATGTTGGACAATCTCCTCAAGGATGAAAAAGAGATTTAAGGCAACAGAGGTGTGGTTCTACAGAAGGATGTTAAGTATACCATGGACCAAACATGGGAACAACAATGAGATTTTAGAGAGGACGCAAACAAAGGGGGAAACTCATGGTTAACATCGGGGAGAGACAGCTGAAATTTCCGGGACACGTAATGAGAAAGGGGGGCTTGGAAAATAGGATACTCACAGGGTGGATAGAAGGAAAGAGGGACAAAGGAAAGCAATGTGTTATATACTTAACTGGCTTAAGCAAGCGGATGTCGGAACGAGGTCTGGAAGAAATAACAAAAAGACAAAGCTTATTGAGAGCTACAAGGGACAGGAGGAGGTGGAGAGCCATGATCACCTACATCCTGAAAGGACATGGCACATAAAAGAAGTCTAGCACTCTTTTCTTTCTTTCTTTGGGATCACTGGAAAAATGATTAATAGATTAACTAGTAGATATAACATTTTACAAATAGTTCAGTGTTTATAAATGTAAACACACACTGAGCAGTCAATATTTTTTTTATTTCTTTTTTTTTTAACCTCTGCAACTCTTTATGTTAAGAACCTTTCAAGTAGGTTTACCAGAAATACCATTTTTGGAATCTGATATTTATTCTTCAAACTGAACCTTATAATTACTGCTTGAAGGTAAAATGTTGGCATGCTAAAAATATGTCCAGCTTAATGCCTTGTGGAAATCTGTTAAATGATGCCCCCAAATGGCCAACCTTAAATATAACTGTGTTTACTAATTATTGCAGAAACCAGCATTCTTGAAATATTGGTCAAGTCTGTTGAGGATTATCAAATTATCGGAGTATATCATAAGTATTTTTTTAATCAACTCTTTATCATACAACTGTGGCTGTGTGTGTGGTGTAGTAGTTATTGATGCAGAAAGTGAAATCAGTGAGCCAAAATCAGATTAGTCTCTTGCATTCACTTTAGCCATTAGGAAATGTATAAGTCTGTGGGGGCAAACCAACTACTTAATTGCAAACAAACCATGTAGTCATGCACATACAACTAAGTATAGAAATGTTTTTTTTTCTTTTTTCTTTTTTCTTTGAGCTAACTGTATACATGTAAATATGATTTTCTCTTTCTCTTTTTTGGGAGCTATGCTGTTCTTTACATAAAAATACAGGGTGAGTCAAAATTATGTTAACATTAATATGAAAGCAATAATTTATTTAGAGTTTACTGAATAGTCTCCACCTGTTTACCAGTATGATTGATGCACAAAAACCAGCAATCAACAGTACAATTTAGTGACTTAACACATATTTCACAGGGAATGTTTGATATTACACCTTTTATTCTCTCCTTGAGTTCTTCGATGTCTCTAACTTTTTTGCCATACACATGATCCTTTATCATACCCCATAACCAGGGAGTAATTGACCCATATTTCTCCAGTATTGACTGCAAATGCTTACTTACAAATGCTGCAAGAGTCTGCCATTGATAACATACCCTTAAAAATCAGACAAGCAGTCTATTTCCAACAGGATGGTGCACCGCATCATTTTGCCCATACTGTTTGCTCTTGTCTCAAGTTTCCCAAATCATTGGATAAGTCATGGCAGACTGTTGGCATGTCCACCACACTCCTCTGATTTGACAGCCCGTGGCTTCTGGTTATGGAGTATGAAAAAGGATTGTGTGTATAGCAACAAAGTTAGAGACATTGAAGAAATCAAGGACAATAAAAGGTGTAATGTCAAACATTACCCGTGAAAAGTGCCTCAAGGCACTAAATTGCACTGTTGATCACTGGTTTTTGTGCATCAATCGTGTTGGTGGACATGTGGAGACTGTCCAGTAAACTCTGGATAAATGATATCACTCTGTATATATATATATATATATATATACATAGACACACACGCATACAGAGGGTGAGTCAAAATTATGTTAACACTAATATTAGAGGATGAGTGAAAGTTATGTTAACACCAATATTAGTTGAATCATTTATTCAGCGTTTACCAAACAATCTCCACCTGTTCACACGCAAGACTGATGCACAAAAACTAGAGATCGGCAGTACAATTTAGTGCTTTGACACACATTTCAAGGGGAATATTTGATATTACACCTTTTATTCTGTCCTTGAGTGTAACTAGTCCATATTTCTTTACAACTCCAACGGTGTCTGCAAATGCTTACTTACAAATGCAGCAAGAGTTTGCCATTGACAACATACCCCTAAAAATCAGACGAGCAGTCTATTTCCAACAGGATGATGCACCACCTAATTTTGCGCATACTTTTCATGTTTGGCTCAATAAAACTTACCCAAATCATTGGATAGCTCACAGCAGACCCATTGGCATGGCCATCACACTCCCCTGATCTGACACCCTGTGACTTCTGGTTTACATAATTTTGATTCACCCTGTATATATATTCAAATGATTGAAATTTCAAACTAGATTCTTTATTTCGTCCACTGGGGGTAGATTGTTCTAGTTCCACGTGCCATGACTCTTCCTGATGTCTCAGTATGAGTTATCTCCCTTTTTCACTCTCCAAGTTTTTTGTTCACTGCTGTAACCAGGTACTGAACTAACAATGCTTTGAGTCAAAAAACTGGATTCAACCAATGATTTTATCCACTGGCCCAGTTGGAGAGTTTAGTTAAAAGGGAGATAACTAATACTGAGATATCTGGAATAGGCAGATAGAACAATCTACTCCGGTGGATGAAATATAGGGGTTCAATTCAAAATTCTAATCACCTGAAGAAGGTTGGAGCATGGAACGGCTGAAACACTGTGAATATGGCAACAAAGTTGAGGACAACAGTCCAAACAATGTAAAAAGTACAAATAATTACAATACCTCATCTCAGAAATATAGAAAGAGTACTGAATTCTTATGAAATATTGGTCTTTCTATATGACAGTGAGTGCTGGGCAATCTTCTCACAGATGAAGAAAAGACTTGAGGGATCAGAAAAGTGGTTCTACAGAAGGATGCTGAGAATACCATGAACTGAACATGTGAGCAACAATGATGCTTTAGAGAAAATAGAAACAAAAATAAAAAGCACACTTATACTTAACATCAGAAAGAGAGAGTTGAAATTTCTGGGACACATAATGAGGAAAAAGGGTTTGGAAAATCTGATACTCACAGGACAAAAGGCAAAGGAGACAGAGGCAAACAACACATAAGCTACATGGGGAGTTTGAGTAAATGGATGGTAGGGCAAGGTTTAGAAGAGATAAGAAAAAGACAAAATTTATTAAGGGCTTCAAATGATAGGAAACTGTGGAGAGCCATGACTGCCTACATCCTGAAAGGATACAACACATACACTCTTGTGTCAATTAATTGAAACAAAACAAATAATTCCATTATTATTTATTCTTTCATATTTATCCAATGAAACATGACCCAGTGCACATGTTAATACTTCGTATGTCCATTCCACAAAGTTGTTCCTTGCAGATTGACCACAGATTCTCAATTGGATTTAAATCAAGAGAGTCTCTGGGTCAGTCTATAGTACTTTGATTTGCTCACTGGTAAGGCTTGCCAGTGTGTTCATGCAGCGTTACAATTTTCACATGCTTCCTTGGAGTAATGTCCATCGCAGACAATGGTTGTAAGACAACTAATCGACAGTTGAGACAATAATGTCTGGGTATGATAAAAATTCGATGCAATTACAGATGACACAATATTTTTCAAGGCCAAATAAATTTCATCATACACCCCGAAAATAGATTCATATTACTGCACACTACTGCAATGACGTAATCTGAGAAAAAAATAGAAATCAATTACACCCTGTCACTCCAGATAGATAGATAAATATGAAAACGACTGAGATGGATAAATAATGAACAGACTGTGATAGATAGATAGATAGATAGATAATTATGGAAATGACTGAGATAGATAAGTAGATAGATATGAAAGGGATTTAGATAATGAACAGACGTTGATAGATAAATATGAAAATGACTGAGATAGATAGATATATCAATAATATGAAAAGGACGGAGAGATAGATATGAAAAGGAATGAGATGGACAGATAATGAACAGACTGAGATAGATTGATAAATATTAAAAGGAATGAGATAGATACCAAACGGACAGAAATAGATAGGTATGAAATGGACTGAGATGGATAGATAGAGTGAAAACTGACCGTATAGTGAAAGAAAGGAAACTAAGATGGTTGTTTTGATTAATTTGCACAAGGATGTAGAAGAAGGGGCATCTATTCACTATGAATCAATCTCTTCTCACCACCATCTGTGGGCTACATGATGTAAGCTTCAGAAATGGCCACTCTAAGTATTGGTTAAATATATCAATAACCACTTGGAAATCAAGTGCTGTAGCCACCTATCAAATAGAAAACCAATCAAACTCAGCCCTCACCAGTATATTCTAAGATCTGTCCACTTATGATACTATTATAAAGCCACTATTCTACGGCTATTGTTATACGAAGTACGTTATGTAAGAGTATGTTATAAGGATTCTCTATACATAATGCTTTAGCTACTTATCGTGATGCCTGTAAGAACTCTGGCGAACAGTCTGATCCTTCTGTTAGGCTATTAGCTTTCTATCTCTTTTTGCCAAAATACTAGAGGCTCTAATCAACTCTGAATTGGTTAAGCATCTCATCTCACAGAGTCTTCCTCCCTATAAGCAATATGGTTATTGCTTCTCTAGGTCAACTGCTGATGTATTAATGACTAGCAGTAGAGCCCAGCGTTGCCCGGGTATGTAACAGTAAGAGATAGATCAAGTATCGACCATCATAAAGACTGAAAAATAAAATTGACAAAGTTTATTGTTTAAGGTTGACAGACATGCATGTCTTAATTAGTTTTTTTTTTGTTTTTTTTTACGAATTGGTCAAACCCAAACTCCAACAAAAACATTGTTTTCAATTGTTATGAATCTACAGATTGAATAGAATTTTAATTTAAACAATTGTCTTGTAAATGGAATTTTTAAAGCATTCTGAATGTAAAAATAAAGAAAAAAAGTGTGCAAGACAATAAGAAACACTACCTGCCAAAAAAAAGTGATATTTTGTTGAAATCGGTTGAAAAATGTAGGAAATCCAATCCCATATATAAATGAACATACACACACACACACACACACACACACACACACACACAAATAACCTGGGTTTTATAATAAGTATAACTCGATATGAGTTGTCCCCTTTTCATTCTGGTGACAGAATCGTGTTTTATCATGTTTTCAAATTGATTTTGTGCAAAAACAATTGTGTTTTTCCAATTTTTGGTGCTGTCAGAACCACCGCAAAGTAATTTTACGCAGTTCTGTGAAGTTTTGTTGAAATCAGTTGAAAAATGTAGGAAATCCGATCCAATATATAAATGTACAGACACACACACACACACACACAATCTGCGTTTTATAATAAGTAAGCTGAAAGTTTACAAATGGTGAAGCTTGGGCTGTTGCTTTGTGTATCTTGGAGGCTTTTGGCAATGCTGGTCTTCTTTATAAGTTGAAAGTTTATGATGATTTTGATTTGATTCAGTCTTACTTATCAAATTGTGAATTGAAAGTTGTCTAGAATGGCCACTCTTCTAGATCTTTTTACATTAATGAGGATGTCCCTCAGTGCTCTATCCTCAGACCTACATTGTTCCTAATTTTCACCAATGATTTTCCTAATGTCATCAGTTCTTAACTCTATATTATAATGCCACTATTTTATGGCTATTGTTATAACACACTCTTACTTATATAATGTACTTTGTATAAGGATTCTCTATACATAATCCTTCAACTACTTGCTGTGACACCTGTATTAGTTAGTCTGAAGACTGACTCCAAATGGCTACCAGTCTTACCTCTGAGCTGGAGCTCTTTATAATAATGAACTAGTTCATATAGTTACCGAGAGTGTACTATTTACTCCACAACAGATACAGAAGAGAAGTGGATGTGTGGAATACAGCAAGAGACACTGTTTTCAATATATAATCTGTTTCTATCATTTATGTACTCATTTGTTTGAGATTTTTCAAGCAGTAGTCATTTGGTGCTTGAGGCTGGAATTTTGAAAATTGGTAATTTAATCTAAATCCAATTTGTATTGACTCACATGTTCCTTCAACCACAAAAGACTCTTGTTGGTGAAATGCCTTGTCAGTCACTGGTCTTTCAACTACCAATCATTTAAAAAGTCGAGGTCAACAAATATTCATGACATGTGGTGCTCAAAAGTAGTTTGAGACAATAAATAAAGACTGTTTCAGACATTAAAAGTTCCACAAATGTTATGAAAACATTAAAGTTTTGTTCAGAAAGAAAAGTTAATTATTAGGTTGTTTACAAAATAATGTTCGACTTTAGAAGAATTTTTATTCCTGAATTAATGTGTTTATATATTATGCCTTTAAATTCCTAGAGGACCGCTAGATATTGTTGTTGTTTCTGTAACAAGCCAGTTTTTTTTTTTAAGTCAGTAGATTGTTAGCCTACTACACAAACACCAACTTGGAGGTCATCCTGGGTAAGATGATAAACTACGTCCAACAGTAAGGCGGTTTTGAGGAGTGTGGAACCACCTTTTAATTGCTAGTGTTCCCAGGTCCACCCTGACTTGGGGTTGTAGCACCTGTTAGGGTCCCAGCTATGGGCAATTAGTAAACACCCAAACTTGCGTAAAAATAGGTTTTAATACCAGAAATACTTTGTAATAAAAAAATTATTACCAGCAATAATTTTTGAAGGAAAAATTATTATCAGGAATACTTTAAAATAATAAAAAAAAATACCAGCAATACAAACAGTTATACATTCTTTGGAAAAAATATGACCAGCTATAGATTTCTTGAAGGAAAAATATTCCCAGAAATAGATTTTTGAAGAAAAACAGATTACCAGCAATAAAAATTTTGTTGGCATTAAATAACCCATTGAGGTTGATATGCCGTAAAACAAACCAAACCAAAGCCCAACCTGGAGGATCAGGTTTTGGATTCAGAGTTGTCCTTCTGCTAGACCAGTTGCTATCCAAGGCTATAGAACCCAGTCTGTCCTGCTATTTACCCATAGCTGGGAGGAGAAGAAGAGGATTCATACCTTTCCCAAGAGTATTAGCACGTAAGTGAATGTAATGGATTCAACTGGAATTCAAACTCAGCTCTCCGATTCCTCAATCTGAGCCGCTATGCATTACTCCATCATGCCTCCTCAATGGGTGAGAGATCAGGGAAATATGGTGAATGTGGCAAAGTCTTGTATCAGAAGTCAGTGTATTTTCACAGTTCCATCCTGGCAACATGTGGCTGAGCATTGTCATGAAGCATAATTTTTTTTTTTTTTTTTTACAATGATGGTCACTCTGTACAAGGCCCAAGAGCCACTCAAGGCAGAAGGTTACAGAGTAAGAGACACAGTTTATGGGGATATGTGAGGAAGATAACGGTTAACCATAGACTTAAACAGGCTAAGAGTGTAGTGATCAGGGAAGCAGTGAGTCCGTTTCACAAAGCAGTGGTTTGCAGAAAGAAGGTACTTGAGTGAAACATACATCTCACTAATGGAATATGAAGTGAATGAGGGTTGTTCTCTCCAGTGGGCATGACGTTGCTGGTCTTAGCCGTAAATGTTAGAACTGGTGGAACTAAGGAATGTAGTTCGTCTGAACACTTTCTGTGGAAATAGCAATAAAGTAATGAGAGACTTGATCTTTCTTCTGCAAGGAGGAAAAGATGCTTTTGGACAATCGAGACTGGACTGAAGACTGGCAGTAGTACTCAATTTTCAATTTGTTCTGGCTTTTTAAAGATAAAGGATAGCAGGAAGAGTCAGGTACTTACTAGTGTGGTACAGGGAACTGACTATTTTTCCAATATTTATACTGTCCTGTTTATGACGATAAACCACACCCGTGTCCTGGGTAAGACGATAAACTACATCCGCGTCCTGGGTAAGACAATAAACTACATCCAACAGCAAGGCCTCTGATCAGGAGGTTTAATGAGCATGGAACCACCTCTTAATTGCTAGTGTTCCCAGGTCCATCCTGACCTGGGGTGGTAGCACCTGTTAGGGTCCCAGCTATGGGTAAATAGTCAAACCCCAAATGGGGGTCAAAACACTATGAAAGTTTGAAAATAGGTTTTAATACCAGAAATACTTTGAAAAAAAATTATTACCAGCAATGCATTTTTGAAAAAAAAAAAAAAACTAGAAATACATTTTTTAAAAAAAATTATTACTAGAAATACATTTTTTAAAAAAAATTATTATTAGAAATACATTTTTGAAATAAATATTACCAGAAATACATTTTTGAAAATAAATTATTACCAGCAATACATTTTTGAAATAAATATTACCAGAAATACATTTTTGAAAAAAAATTATTACCAGAAATACATTTTTGAAATAAACATTACTAGCTATACATTTTTGGAAAAAAAAATTAACAGCAATACATTTTTGAAAAAAAAAAAAAACATCCCAGCAATAAAAATCTTGTCGGCATTAAATAACCCATTGAGGTTGATATGCCATAAAACAAATCAAACCAAACCAGTATTTTTAAGTGATGGATCATATGTAGGAGGTCTGGATTTTTGTCCCCATAAGTGCTAAAGTCATGGGTCGTCTCTAAGAGAACAACTGTTCATCACAATAATTCAGGGCCTGTTTAGGAATGATGGAAGTATGAAAAAAGAATATAGAAATGTTGCAGCCAGCATTGTTATCATTTACACCTTAATCATACAGAAAATCTATAGCCTACATCTCTTACCATCATTGTTATGCTAGATAGGTCATGCAATAATCCCTTGATTAAAGGAGTAGGGATGTGTGGGGTATGTAATGGTTAACAATTTGGAATGAGAAATAGGCAAGCCAAGTTCAATTGCAGCTGAGTTCATTGTTGACTTTCTCAGAAATAAGAATTGGGAAATGTATAAATACATTGCATCTCCCTCCCTCAACTGACTGGGCTCTCTTGGCATGAAGTGGCAACCAGTCTAGAAGTAGAAAAACTTAATTCAAAACCAGCCTGAAGAAGGAGCTACTTTGTCAGTCTATGTTGCCTTAGACACACCACTTCCGCTGTGGCTGTAGTACATGTTAAGTCCCTATAACCCAACTGAGAAGACGTAATAATAGGGGAGTTGAGAAGTTTTTGGTTTGTTTTACGGGATATCAACCTCAATGTGTTATTTAATACCAAAAATTTTTTTATTGCTGGTAATATTTTTTTTCCAAAAATGTATTGTTGGTAATGTTTTTCTTTTTCAAAAATGTACTTGTGGCAATAATTTTTCAAAAAACGTATTGCTGGTATTAAAATCTATTTTTATACTTTCATTGTGTTTTGACCTCTTTTTGGAGGTTAACTACTTGCCCATAGCTGGGACCCTGATAGGTGCTACCACCCCATGTCAGGGTGGACCTGGGAAGGCCAGCAATTATGAGGTGGTTCCATACTCATCAAAACCTCCTGATAAGAGGCCTTGCTGTCGGATGTAGTTTATTGTCTTACCCAGGATGCAGATGTAGTATATTGTCATATAGGAAGCAGAGAGGAGGTAATAATAAGGAAACAGAGATAAGGAAGCAGAGAGGAGGTAATAATAAGGAAGCAGAGATAAGAAAGCAGAGAGGGGGTAATAATAAGGAAGCAGAGAGGAGGTAATAATAAGGAAACAGAGATAAGGAAGCAGAGAGGAGGTAATAATAAGGAGCAGACAGGAGGTAATAGTAAGAAAGCAGAGATAAGAAAGCAGAGAGGAGGTAATAATAAGGAAGCAGAGATAAGAAAGCAGAGAGGAGGTAATAATAAGGAAGCAGAGATAAGAAAGCAGAGAGGAGGTAATAATAAGAAAGCAGAGATAAGAAAGCAGAGAGGGGGTAATAATAAGGAAGCAGAGATAAGAAAGCAGAGAGGGGGTAATAATAAGGAAGCAGAGATAAGAAAGCAGAGAGGAGGTAATAATAAGGAAGCAGAGATAAGAAAGCAGAGAGGAGGTAATAATAAAGAAGCAGAGAGGAGGTAATAATAAGGAAGCAGAGATAAGAAAGCAGAGAGGGGGTAATAATAAGGAAGCAGAGATAAGAAAGCAGAGAGGAGGTAATGATAAGGAAGCAGAGAGGGGGTAATAATAAGGAAGCAGAGATAAGAAAGCAGAGAGGAGGTAATGATAAGGAAGCAGAGATAGGAAGCAGAGGAGGTAATAAGGAAGCAGAGATAAGAAAGCAGAGAGGAGGTAGGAAGATAAGGAAAGCAGAGAGGGGGGTAAGGAAGGAAGAATAAGAGAGGAGTAATAATAGAGATAAGAAAGCAGAGAGGAGGTAATAATAAGGAAGCAGAGATAAGAAAGCAGAGAGGAGGTAATAAGGAAGCAGAGATAAGAAAGCAGAGAGGGGGTAATAATAAGGAAGCAGAGATAAGAAAGCAGAGAGGAGGTAATAATAAGGAAGCAGAGATAAGAAACAGAGAGGTAATAATAATAAGAAAGCAGAGAGAGAAAGCAGAGAGGAGGTAATAAAGCAAGAGGGGCAGAGATAAGAAAGCAGAGAGGGGGTAATAATAAGAAAGCAGAGAGGGAGAAAGCAGAGAGGAGGTAATAATAAGGAAGCAGAGATAAGAAAGCAGAGAGGGGGTAATAATAAGGAAGCAGAGATAAGAAAGCAGAGAGGAAGTAATAATAAGGAAGCAGAGATAAGAAAGCAGAGAGGGGGTAATAATAAGGAAGCAGAGAGGAGGTAATAATAAGGAAGCAGAGATAAGAAAGCAGAGAGGAGGTAATAATAAGGAAGCAGAGATAAGGAAGCAGAGAGGAGGTAATAATAAGGATGCAGAGATAAGAAAGCAGAGAGGGGTTAATAATAAGGAGCAGAGAGGAGCTAAAGATTAGAAAGCAGAGAGGAGGTAATAATAAGGAATAAGAAAGGAGGTAATAATAAAGGAAGCAGAGATAAGAAAGCAGAGGGGGGTAATAATAAGGAAAGGAGAAAGCAGAGGAGGTAATAATAAGGAAGCATAGATAAGGAAGCAGATAGGAGTAATAATAAGGAAGCAGAGGGGAGGTAATAATAAGGAAGCAGAGATAAGGAATCAGCAGAGAGGGGGGTAATAATAAGGAAGCAGAGATAAGGAAGCAGAAGAGGATAAGGAAGCAGAGAGGGGGTAATAATAAGGAAGCAGAGATAAGAAAGCAGAGAGGAGGTAATAATAAGGAAGCAGAGATAAGAAAGCAGAGAGGAGGTAATAATAAGGAAGCAGAGATAAGAAAGCAGAGAGGGGGTAATAATAAGGAAGCAGAGATAAGAAAGCAGAGAGAGGAGGTAATAATAAGGAAGCAGAGATAAGAAAGCAGAGGAAGCAGGGGTAATAATAAGGAAGCAGAGATAAGAAAGCAGAGAGGAGGTAATGATAAGGAAGCAGAGATAAGAAAGCAGAGAGGGGTAATAATAAGGAAAGAGAAGCAGAGAGGAGGTAATAATAAGGAAGCAGAGATAAGAAAGCAGAGAGGGGGAAATAATAAGAAAGCAGAGAGGAGGTAATAATAAGGATGCAGAGATAAGAAAGCATAGAGGGGGTAATAATAAGGAAGCAGAAAGGAGGTAATAATAAGGAGCAGAGAGGAGCTAAAGATAAGAAAGCAGAGAGGAGGTAATAATAAGGAAGCAGAGATAAGAAAGCAGAGAGGGGGTAATAATAAGGAGCAGAGAGGAGGTAATAATAAGGATGCATAGATAAGGAAGCAGATAGGAGGTAATAATAAGGAAGCAGAGGGGAGGTAATAATAAGGAACTGGAACTCTCTTCAGTTTACAGATCTACAGCTACTGAAGAAGAACTCTATTTTGGGTCACATTGGTAAACATGCAACAGATCTGGGATTACATCCCAAATTTTTATCTGTGAATATATATGATAAAAGACTTATTACCATATCTATTCTATATAGCTGTTCACCCAATCCAAGACTCAAGAGCAACTCAATGTTTTCTAAATTATTTTATTTAAAGTAGATAACATTTGACTGGAAACTTTAAGAGGTTAAGATTGTAGTGATTTGGAAAGTATTCTCTTGGAAGCGTTCCATAAATTAGCTGTTCTTGGGAAGATGGTCAGAATGGAACTTTCTTCTTACCAATGAAATAAAAAGGGAATGAGTATACAACACCATATACTTGGCATTGCAAACCTTAGCTGTGAAGGTCTAAACTGGAAGAATTAAATAATGTAGTTTGTCAGAACATTTACCATGAAAATAGTGATAAAATAATGGGAAGCTTTTTTTTTTTCTGTGGGGAAAGGGATTGTAGGGTGGGAAATAACTCATCGCCCACAAGGCCATGTAACCACTTTTGAAATTTGTCATAGCAAGGTTAGGATTAGGATATATATATGCACACACATATACCTTGTATATCTTTTATTCTTTCTTTTCTTCTTTCATTGTTCAGGATTTTTTTTCTTGTCTAAGGTGTTACATCTTCTGGCAAACTGCCTGTTGTTTTTTTTTATATATATATATATATATATATATATATATATAAGCAAATGGGTAAATATAGGTAGATGTACAGTCGAGTGATCATATATAAATACACTATAGTGTAAAAGAAAAAAACAGCACTCAATGTTAAGTAACAGAGCTATTTAATATATATTAAGGAATATAGAAAATACCTTACATTGATTTCACAACTTTGAATTTCATGCATAAGCAATTGTGAGGTGCTGGTATATTTATTTTTATTTTAATTTTGGGTTGACACTGGTTTTGCAAAATTTCTTGTTATTACGAGATACTTTATTGTGAGGGGGAAATATCATTGTTGTTAAAATATTTAAATGAATTTTGGTTCAATTTTGAATTTGAATTTCAGTCCAGTTTAACATATAAGATTGAAAATGAAGTTAGAAATAAGAATGATAATTTCTAATTTAGAGAGATGCTGATGTTATCAAAGAAATAAACAAGAATAGAATATATATATATATATATATATATATATATATCATCCACAAACAGACTGTTTCATTTTTCAGCGCATCAGTGTGGCTAGACATCCAATTGCTCCAAGCCAGGCTTGAAACTCGACCAATTTGGCATCAGTCAGAGATTCTACCCACAAGTTATCATCGCATAGCAGAGTGGAAGGGAAATTTTAATGTTTTTACTAAGCAAAAGATGTCAGTAGCTAGGAGAACTTGATTTGAGTAGACGAGCATTGCATTAGCAGCAGCAGCCCCTGTTTATAAACTCAACCCTTTCTCTATGAGCTCAATATAAAATTGGCACCTGATAATTGCTATGCGCATGAAAGTAGTAGCATTGAGTGAGTGTTGAGGAACAAATATATAATTCTTCTTAATATAAATTTTAGGTCTGTTATTTTACATTCAGTATTATTACTACCAGCACTCACTGTGTACTATTTTATATATACATATATGTATATATATATATATATATATATATATATATATATATATATATATATATTAAACACATTAATAGATGCATGTATAGTGATTTTCTAAGCTTAGTTTAGATGTTGCACAAGACTGAAAAGGATGAGGCACCCAGTGAGGATCAAACTCACTATTCAGTCATAATTGATCTAACAAGACAAGCTTGTTAATCTTTAAACCATGTCAAAATACCCATATACATGCATGTATATGAACCATGGTGTTCTATATTAACAGGCCTCTGCGTAACACCGCTACCTCGGTAGACTGGAGGCCGGCTGACAATTAGATCGTTTTAGTTTCAGTTTGAGCGAACTGCTACGTACTGTGACTCGAGAAATTCAAAGGAATCTTTTAATTTTACCTTTGGTTGGAATATCATTTAACTTATTTATTTGAAGTAAGTATATTTGATTATTTTAAATTTTAATTTAGTTTGAGTCCATACATTATTTATATTTAAATTGTAAAAAAAAAAGTAAACTTTGGTGCTTAAATTTACTCGCACAAAAAGATAAGTTTAAAAAGCCTTATTTTTAAATTAAAGTTTAATTCATTTTTGGCATTTTCCCTCTTAAAGTTTGTTCAACATTTTTTGATTAAAGTTTAAAGAATTATTTATTGATAAAATGCAATTCTTTTTGAGTAATTTGTGTTTAAGAAGTAAAACAAAACAACGTTTAACAAATTTGAACAGAATTTAATTTAGTTTCTTCAAAGACGTAAAGAAAACTATTTTCATTATAAAATGAATTAAAAATGTTTGTTTTTTTTTCATAAATTCAATGTCATTACTTAATTTGATATTTATTTTTGATATCACTAAAAAAAACATTGTTAGTATGCATGAAAACATAACGTCAACGAAATTAAAGTTTAATTTTCTCAAGTTTTTAACCATGATAAAAAATTAGCATAAGTCAACATTTTTCTATTAAAAGTTTAAGTTTGAATAAAATTTTAATAGAGAAAGGTTCATTAACATTTCTCTATTAAAACTTTATCCAACATTTCCATTAAAAGTAAAAAAAAAAAAAACAAACGAATTTCTTCGCGCTTTTGTTTCCGAAGTTAAAGAATAAATGATTATTTTTACTACATTAGTTACCAATTCGTGAACTGTAAGTATTTTTTTACTTATTAGAATTAAAGAAAAAAATAACAATAATAAATTTATTACATGCAGTTAATGTCAATATTTTTAATTTTTTTTTTTTTTTTTAGAAAGGTATCCTTTTTTACGCCTTTTGACTACAAAATTTATTTTACAAGACAAGAATAATAATACCATTTTATTTATGTATTTTAATATTTTTCTGATATTGTTGTTAAAGGACAAAATGCATTATTTTTACTTTACTTTTAATTGTTTTGCTTTAAGGTAAAAAAAAAAGTTATATATATTCCTATTTATATAGTTAAAGCGTATTTAAAATAACCAAACTAAAGGAAAGGCTACTTATGAATGTTTTTAAATTTAATATAAAGTTTTAAAGTAAACAACATTGGCCTTCAAATTTTGATACCATAAAAGTTAAATGGAAAAATATGTCCAATAAATCCACCATCTGTATGCCCAGTGTGCCAAGTAATCAAATACTAACACCCTCAGCTGTTCAAAGGAATATAAAAAAAATCCTCCAGTACTGTTAGAAATCAAATTGCTGATGAACTTAATGCTTTTATAGAATTAGATAAAATTATACAAATTGGAAAGAAAGTCTGCTTAACAACAAAAAGACTTTATATGTCCAGTTGTAACATTTTTGGATGAAAATATTTTAACTGTCCAATTATCAAAATCTATTGATGGTATTCCTCTCTTTATAACAATTTGCGCTTTCAAACATTTCATTATGGAGTTAAGTGTTATATTAGCAGCCTGTCCAAAAATCATATAAATACTGTTGATACTTGGTCAAAACTGGAAGAAATCATCCGATATTTAAATTCTATGGCTTTTGATCACAAGAAAAATATCCTGAGTCAACAATTTTTAGCAATGGCTCCCAAAATGGTTGGAATAAAATACAGCTCAGATATAGTTGTGCATGCTTTTGGGTACTATGCAAGATCACGGACATTGTATAATGAATTAAGATGTGATTTTCAGTTACCCTCATTAGCAACATTAGGAAGGATGACGTCAAAAGTTTCAAAATTTAATGAAAAATCTTTTTTGTTATCTATATTTAATACTCTTAATACCAGTCAAAAATGGTGCATAATTCTCCATGATGAAGTATATATAAAAAAGATGTTGCTATATCATGGCAAACAACTATTTGGTAAATCAGTTGACAATCCATCTGTACTTGCTCAAACAGTACTTGGTATAATGTTGATATGTCTCAATGGGGATCCAAATTTTCTTACAAAATTGATTCCAATTTCAAAATTAACATCCGCCTTTTTATTTGAACAAATTGAGTTAACAGTCCAAGCCATCACATCTGTACCAGCTGATGTAAAGGCTATTATATGTGATGGCAACCGTGTCAATCAAGCTTTTTTTAAATTATATCCTACACTTCCTGAAAAACCTTGGTTAACTGAAGATAATAAACATTTGCTTTTTGATTATGTTCATCTGTTAAAAAATATTCGCAATTTGTGGCTGACAGAAAAAACAGGAGAACTAATCATTGATGATGATGGAGTAAGTTGAGTTGCAAAAATGGACACATCTTAAACAGTTATATCGTTTTGAATCTGAAAGACTAGTCAAACTTTCAGATTTAAATGAAATTTCCATTGCTCCAAAGCCAATAGAAAGACAACGGGTTTCTACTTGCCTCAGAGTGTTTTCTGAAAAAACATATAATGCACTTCTCACTCAGTCTGAAATAAGTGCAGGTAAGAATGATACTGCCCTCTTCATAAACAAGGTTTTGACATGGTGGAAAATTTTAAATGTTAAATGCCTTCAAATTGATAAATTACATAATGATCCTCTACAAGCTTAAATCAAATCTCCAAATGACATCCGACTTGATTTTATCATTGAATTTGGTAAAATGGCTCTTAATATGGCTGGCAGTCAAGGTAATCGTAAAAAACAATTATCTCAAAACACTGCTACTGCCATACATCATATTTTCAATGGAATTGTTAGTCTATGTCGACACCTTTTAGCTACAAGTCATAAATATGTACTACTTGGACAATTTTCAACTGATCCATTAGAAAAAGAATTTGGTAAACTTCGCCAAGGATCAAATGGCACCTATTTTATAAATGTTCAACAATGTATTGAAAAGCTGCATATTAAGCAGACATCTTTACTTTTTAATCAAAATGTAAATATTGATGAATTTGATGTTAATCCAGATCGCCAATGTACATCTTGTGATTATAAACTTTGTGAGAAAGGTTCAGAAATATTTGACAATCTGGAAAATTTAGAACCATCTCTTTCCAATGAAATAAAAATGGCTCTTGTGTACATAGCTGGATATATTACAAGAA